CGGCGCTGCACTAATTCAACTGATAATTGCGTGATCAAGCAATGCTGCACCCAAACGAAATTTACGTCCTTTTTTTCACACAAATAGAGCTTTCTTTCGGTGGTATTTGATCACCTGTGCGCTTTTTATTTTTCACGCTATAAACAAAAAAAGGCCAAAAAATTTTTAAGAAAAACAATATTTTTTACTTTCAGCTATAAAAAATATATAGTAAACTCAAAGTTGGTTATAAATTTAGGCCAAAATGTATTCTGCTACATGTTTTTGGTAAAAAAAAAATCCCAATAAGTGTATATTGATTGCTTTGTGTGAAAGTTATAGCGTCTACAAACTATGGTATAGATCAGCAATGGGCAAACTACGGCCCGCGGGCCGTATACGGCCCGGCGGACCTTTTAATCCGGCCCACGGAGCTAGGCTCCTCTCACAGTCCGCCCTGAAGACCGGTGTAGCATGAAAATCTGTCTCCTATGAGGATCTGTCCCCCTCGACGTATCTGCGCATGTGCCGGAGATCGCCGATCGGCTGCTAATGTCTGAAACTGGCACATGCGCAGATACGTCGAGGGGGACAGATCCTCATAGGAAACAGATTTTCATGCTACACCGAACAGCGCGGGACACGGCGAGAGGAACGCGCGTAGCAAAGGTAAGTGAATTGACACAGGGGGGACTTGGGGACTTAATATGGGGGATGAATTAATATGGGGAATGAATTACTATATGGGGGATGAATTACTATGGGGGATGAATTACTATAGGGGGGATGAATTACTATAGGGGGGATGAATTACTATAGGGGCGATGAATTACTATAGGGGGATGAATTACTATATGGGGGGATGAATTACTATATGGGGGATGAAATACTATATGGGGGATGAATTACTATGGGGGATGAATTACTATAGGGGGGATGAATTACTATAGGGGGGATGAATTACTATATGGGGGATGAATTACTATAGGGGGGATGTATTACCTATAGGGGGGATGAATTACTATATGGGGGATGAATTACTATATGGGGGATGAATTACTATAGGGGGGATGAATTAATATGGAGAATGAATTACTATGGGGGATGAATTACTATATGGGGGATGAATTACTATATGGGGGATGAATTACTATGGGGGATGAATTACTATAAGGGGGATGAATTACTATGGGGGACGAATTACTATATGGGGGACGAATTACTATATGGGGGATGAATTACTATATGGGGGATGAATTACTATATGGGGGATGAATTACTATACGGAGGATGAATTACTATATGGAGGATGAATTACTCTAGGGGGGATGAATTACTATAGGGGGGATGAATTACTACTATAGGGGGGATGAATTACTATATGGGGGGATGAATTACTATAGGGGGGATGAATTACTATAGGGGGGATGAATTACTATAGGGGGGATGAATTACTATATGGGGGATGAATTACTATATGGGGGATGAATTACTATAGGGGGGATGAATTACTATATGGGGGATGAATTACTATATGGGGGATGAATTACTATATGGGGGATGAATTACTATGGGGGATGAATTACTATATGGGGGATGAATTACTATATGGGGGATGAATTACTATGGGGAATGAATTACTATGGGGGATGAATTACTATAGGGGGGATGAATTACTATAGGGGGGATGAATTACTATAGGGGGGATGAATTACTATAGGGGGGATGAATTACTATAGGGGGATGAATTACTATATGGGGGATGAATTACTATATGGGGGATTAATTACTATGCTTACTATGGGGGAATATTACTATACTTACTATGGATGACACATACACATAATTCATCTACTCTTGGTCCGGCCCCCGGGTCCAATATATGAACCCATTGCGGCCCTCAAGTCAAAAAGTTTGCCCACCCCTGGTATAGATACTGCAATTTACGCCATTTTTTGTTTTGCTATACAGCGCTGAGTAGTTTAACGGACAATTGCGCGGTCATGCAATATGGTACATAAATGAAATTTACATCCTTTTTTTTTTCCACAAATTGAGCTTTCTTTCGGTGGTATTTGATCGCCTGTGCGGTTTTTATTTTTTGCGCTATAAAAAAAAAGGCTGACAATTTTGAGGAAAAAAAACAATATTTTGGACTTTTTGCTATAAAACATGTCCAGTAAAAAAAAATTAAAAAATCAAATTTAGTCATAAATTTCTGCCAAAATGCATTCTGCGACATGTCTTTGCTAGAAAAAAAAAAAACAATACGTGTAAATGAATTGGTTTACATGAAAGTTATAGCGTTTACAAATGGCGGGAAAGATACTGGGATTTTTTGGGGTTTTTTTTATACTAATAATGGCGGCGATCAGCGACTTATGGCGGTGATCAGTGACTTATGGAGGCGATCAGCGACTTATGGTGGGACTACAGCGGACATTCTGACATTGGGGGGTACTGACTTGGGGTCACTGACATCCCCAGTGACAACAATACAGTGATCAGTGCAAAAAAAAAAACACTGACACTGTACTAATGGCACTGGGGAGGAAGGGGTTAAGTTTATTTTTCAGGGAAAGGTTAACTGTGTGAGGGGAGTGTTTTACTAGGGGGCGGGGGTGTGTACTGCACGGGACACCGCTGATCGGGACAGATAAACTCTTCTGTCCCGATCAGCTTGTCCTGGAGCTGTCAGGGAACTGACAGAAAGCACAGCTACTGCAGCTGTGCTCTCTGTCAGCGATTGCCGCCGATCGCTGGGACATAGCCGGTAACGACTGGCTGTGACCCGGCGACTGACATCCGCGGCTGTGATCGGCGGGACAGGTAGGGCGGCGGCGCGCCTCGCGCGCGCCCCCTACCTGTTTACAAATCACACGTTTTAAAACAGGATTTTGCCCAGCCGTGCCGCCCTGCCACCGTATTTATACAGTGGCTGGGCGGCATGTAGTTAAAGCAAAAATCGACTGATTATTTTTAGGTCAGATATTCAAACGAAAAATCGTTTGAAAATGGACTCATGTATGGCCGGCATTAGTCACAGATTCTTATTGGGAGCTGGTAGAATGGACTTCTGATCATGTAACCACTGTGAGATCTAATTACAACGCTCACGTGATCGGGAAGGTGCTCCACCTCCTTTCATTAAAGCCTAACAACATTGTCGTATTCAATACTCTGATCTATTCTGGGACCTTCACACCCTGAAATTTAGAACTCAGATTGCTATTGATTTTTATATTATAAACTACTGCCCCTACTCCTCCATGAACACGAAGGGATGACTAAAGTTTTACGGAACTATGAGTTGGGTCCAATGACGTGCATGGCACCTTGTGGTCACTTTTATTTATATCTGACAGTTTTACGGAGCTCTGGGAGTACAACTATCCTTACTTTCCCAGGGCTCGGACAGGAGAGATGCTGCTCTCTTATACAGAAGCAGCTCTGCTCGCCTCCCCCTCTGCTGTTCATTCACAGAAGGTTTTGTATTTTGTGAATGTGTTCACATAATACAAAACACTCTGTAATTGGACAGGAGAATGGGAGGGGGCGGGCAAAAGGCTGCGTGACTCTGCAGCTGCAGAAGAAAAAACTACTTAGCCAGGGACTAAATCTGTGTCCCAATTTACTCCCTCATGACAATCTACTTGTCCTGATGCAAAAAAAAAAAAAAAAAAAACAAAACCATATTTAAATCTGAGGTGCTTTTAGAAATGGCTGGGGCTTTTAGAAACAAAAAGGGGCTTTATGGCGACCTAAACGTTTAATTTTTTTTAAATTGCGCAGTTTATCTCCTCTGTTCCTCCCTGCCTGTCTCCTGGGGACTAGCAGGGAGGGGAGAGACGGTGCAGTGTAATGAGCACTGATTGGCTGCTCGTCAGGAAAGGGGAGTGTCGGGCTTATCCTTTATCCCTTTCGCCGCTAGAGCTGTTTTTGCGGTTTTTTTGCACACATTTAAAAAATCATTTTAGGCCTGAAGATTACACAAAACCCCCAAACATTATATATTTTCTGAAATCAGAGACCCTAGAGAATAAAATAGCAGTAGTTACAATTTTTTATGTCGCATGATATTACCACAAAAATACACAAAATTAATTTTAAGGCACAAAAAAAAGCAATAAATTACCCTATTTTTTGGTAAAATATAAAAGTTGAGGTTCACATCGAGTAAATAGATATCCAACATGTCAAAACCTTAAATTTGCGTGCGCTCGTGAAATGGCAACAAACTTCAGTACCCTATATTTTTTATAGGCGACCCTTTTAAAGACCCTTATAGGTCATCAGTTTAGCGTTATGGAGGAGGTCTGGTGCTCGAATTATTGCTCTAATTCTGGTGTGCGAGGAGATATGTAACATGTGAATCGCAATTGTCGTTTTCATGCGTAGGCGCCCTGGCGTGTGCTTTTAATTTTGTACGTGCATATATGTGGGGGTGCTCAATTTTTTTTTTTGAGGGCTTGTTATGTGATTGGGTGCAAACTGATTTTTTTTACTATTAAAAAAAAAAATTTTTTTCTACTTAACATTTTTTTTTTCCCATCATATAGGGGGCAAAAAGTCCCGTGTGATGATTTTTTTGGTGACAGAGCCAGTCCTGGGCCTGTAGATGGGCAATCGGAGCCAGGGACACTTAACGAGCAGGGGGGAGGTACACACCGAATGCTTCCACCTGACAGATGAGCCCTGCTGCTTGCCCCCAGCAGAGCTAAAGGTTGAAGAAAAGTTACCTGCCCAACGCCCGTAACTACATGTCCCAGGCATCGGGCGAATTCAAATACAAATTCAACATCCTTGAGCTAAGAAAAGAAGGTTCAGCTTCAGAGTGCTGGAAGTATAGCGATAGCCATGTTCTCGGGACTGTAAAAACCTAAATTGTAAGTTAAAGAGATAAGTCCACAAGGTAGCATGCACCTCATTGGGCTTAACCCCTAGTAATCTAGCACACTGTACAAAGTGACTGGACTCCCAGAGTTCAGCTTTAATATAATGGAAATGTTTTGATTGAGTACCTTGGCAAAGTTGGTCATTTCTGATGTTTCTAGTTGGATCTTTCTCTTCTTCCTTGTCTGTTTTTCTTCATCACCGTGTGGCCTTTTATATTTCTTAACAATTTCCTGCTTCATTTTAGGCTACAGACCTGTAAAAAGAATAATGATTATCAAATGTAATGGAATTGTAATGGCTGGAAAAGTATACAAATTAGTTAAAAAATATATCCAAAGCCTTGCCACCGTGACAAAAGGGAAAAATCTAAAAATTTGCTGAGACCAGGAAAAGAAGAGAAGGTAAATTATCCAAAAGAATGGAATTTCCTTAATTTTGTAAAGGGAAGGAAGTAAAGGGTAATCTCCTCAACAGGATACAGATGGCAAAAAATAAACTCAATGTAGTTTTACCGTTCCTAAGTTTTTCAAGTGGGGTGCCGCAAACAGTCCTCAGGGATGCCGCAGACACATCCCAGTCTGAATGCTGCTGTGTTAACTCCTGTGCACTGCAACTCTGCGAGGAGAGAGGGAGCACAGCCTGCACGGCTCTCTTCTCCTCCCTGCAGCTACATGTACTATTGCCGGTAAAGCAGAAGGCTGTGCGGACTGCCCGCCTGGGTCCTACCAACCAATGATGTCATCAGTTAAGAACATGGCAGGAGGCACTATAGCTTTCTGCTTTGCCGGCAATAGTATACATAGCTGCAGGTAGGAGGAGAGAGGCATGTGGGGGCTGTGTTCCCTCTTTCCTCACAGAGTTGCAGTACAGGGTAGTTAACACAGTAGCGCTCAGACCAGGATGTGTCCGCAGCACCCCTGAGGGCTCTTTGCGGCACCTTCCCCAGGGGATTTGGAGGGGTGTTGTGCTAAGAGGGGGGATTTGAGGGGATAGGGCACAGCTCAAATTTGTGTTAATCGAGGAGGCAGGATTTGAGGGGATTGGAGCAGGATTTGTGATAGGTGTGGGGATGTGTGAACAGGGGGGTTTGTGTTAGGAGGGGGGATTTGGGAGGGAGTTGTGCTAGGAGGAGGAGGAATTTGGAGGGGGGTTGTGCTTGGAGGGATTTGTGTTAGGAGGGTGAATTCAGGGGATTGTGCTAGGAGTGGGGATTTCAGAGCAGGGGGGTTTGTGCTAGGAGGAGGAATTGAGGAGGGGGGTAGTTGTGCTGGGAGGGGAGTTGGTGGGGGATTAGTGCTCCCAATTGGGACGTACTAATCTGCATATTGGGATGATTGGATTATTGGCTGCAATTCTCAACACTCTCATTAGGTGTCAGTATATATTTACACACCTAGATGGTAATGACTCTGAATATATATATATATATATATATATAGGGACTATATATATAAAATATACACTAAAATATGTTTTTTATTTTCTGCACTGCTTGATACTATGTTGCAAGAAGTAGTGGCTAATGTTTAATTCTTCACTTGCTGATATATATGAAACTGTACAATGGAATCATAGTAAATTATACAAACATAATGGAAACATTACTCAACACATTTCTAGGAACAGATTTACTGAGGTTATACAGTACATGTATGTGTACAGCACTACATTTTGAACTGTTTTATTAGGAACCTGGAAAAAGAGGTTTCAAAAATGAACACAAAGGAAAACAATGTGGTTATTATTGATCTGCATGGGGAATATTGATGAAATATAATCCTTACACATCCAACGTAATACATTTCACCTTTTTAGATAAGAAATTTCTTTTGTATATGGGGATTATGGTGGAATTATCATGGTTACACTTAACAACGAATATAATTAACCTATTTCAGGTAAGCAAATGTATATATATTATTTTTTTTGTCCACATGGGGATTATGGGTGGAAATGATTGTGGATACAAATGGCAAGGACCATATTTGACCTGTTTCTTTTCTGCAAGGAATATAAGAATAGTTATTTTTCTACATGAGAATTATGGCTGGAATATCATAGTTAAACATGCCTAGGAACACACTGGACCTTTTTCTGATAAGAACATGAAATAGTTATTATTGTTCCATATGTAGATTATGGGTGGAATATTGTGAATACACATGCCAAGGACCTAATTTGACCTATTTCTGAGAAGAAATGAGCATAGTTATTTTTATACATGGGAATTATGGCTGGAATATCATGGTTAAACATGCCTCGGAACACATTGGATAAGTTTCTGATAATAATATGAGAATAGTTATTTTTGTACATGGAGATTATGGGTGGAATATCATGGTTAAACATGGCAAGGACCATATTTGACCTGTTTCTGATAAGAATATTAAAATAGTTATTTTTCTCCATGGGAATTATGGGTGGAATATCATGGTTAAAAAAAGTAAAAATTTTTGGTCTCATCTAACCAGAGCACCTTCTAAAGGTAATTGGTTCCCCATGAAGAAAAAAAATATTTATATGCATATTCTTATCAGAAATAGATAGAATATCATGATTTCTATAGAATAATAATTATATCTATAATAATCATGTGTAAAAACAAATATGCCCATATTCCTATAATAAACAGGTCAAATACTTTATGTAAAATGTGTAATGATGATATCCCCAAAATCCCCTTGAAGAAAAATAATTATACTCATATTCTTATCAGACACAGGTTGAGTATTGTCCTTTGCATGTGTAACCTTGATATTGCACCCATAATCCCCATGTAAAAAAAATTATACCCATAATCTTTTCAGAAATAGGATACTTATGTCCCCTGTTAAATGTAAGCATGAGATTTCCCCCATATATAAAAGTAATTTTATCCATATTTTTATCAGAAACAGGTCAAGTGTATTTTTTGTAATGTGTAATTATGATATTCCCCCATAAACCTCTTGTAGAAAAATAATGTTACCCATATTCTTATCAGAAACAGTTTAAATTTGTTCCTTGGAATATGTAATCATTATATTCAATGAATAATCCCCTTGCAGAAAAATAATTATAAGCATATTCCTATCAGAAATAGTTTTAATATACAGTATGTTTCCTGTTAAGTGTAACCATGATATTCCATCCATAATTCCCACGAAGAACAATAATAATGCAATATTCCTAACCGAAACAGGTCAAATGCATTACATAGGATGTGTATCCATAACATTCCACCAATAATCCATCTGTAGAAAAATAAGGATACCCATGTTCTTATCAGAAATAGGTCAAAAGTGTTCCTAGGCATGCTTAGCCATAAATTTCCACCCATAATCCCCAGTAAAAAAAAGTAATTAAAGCCAAAATATTTTCGGAAGTACGTTAAATATTTTGTCAGGTGTAACCATGATATTCCCCCATAATAATCATATAGAAAACAATCATACCCAAATTCTTATCAGAAATAGATTAAATATGTTCCTTGGACTGTATAACCATGATATCCCACCCATAATCCCCATGTAGATAAATCATTATATGCATATTTTTATCAGAAATAGGTAAAGATGTTCCTTGTTAGGTGTAACCATGATATTCCATCAATAATTCCGCATGGAGTTCAATAATTATACCCATATTCAGAAAACAGGTCATATACATTGTGTAGGATATGTAATGAAGATATTCCCCACATTATCCCCTTGTAAAAAAATAACTATACCCATATTCTTATCAGAAAAAAGTCAAATATGGTCCTTGGCATGTGTAACCACAATAATCCACCGATAATCCCCATGTAGAAAAATAACTATTCTCATCAGAAAAAATCCAATGGGTTCCTAGGCATGTTTAACCATGATATTCCACCCATAATCCCTAGGTACAAAAATAAACTAAACTCATAATCTTTTCCGAAATAGGTCAAATATGGTCTTTGGCATGTGTTTCCACAATAATACACCCATAATCGCCATGCAGAAAAATAACTATACCGATATTCTTATCAGAATGAAGTCAAATGTGTTCCTACACATTTAACCATGATATTCCACCCATAATCCCCATGTAGAAAAATAACTATATCCATATTCTTATCGAAAACAGGTCAGATATGGTGTTTGGCATGTGTATCCACAATAATCCACCCATAATCCACATGCAGAAAACCAATAATTCTCATATTCTTATCAGAAAAAGGTCAAATGTTTTCCAAGGCATGTTAGAACACAATAATCCACCCATAATCCTTATGTAGAAAAATAAATACTCATATTCTTATTGGAAATAAGTCAAATGTGTTCCTAGCCATGTTTAACCATGATATTCTACCCATAATCCCCGTGTAGAAAAATAATTATACTTATATTCTTATCAGAAACAGGTCAAGTGCATTACTTGGGATGTGTAACAATGATATTCCATCCATAATCCCCATGTGGAAAAATAATTATACCCATGTTCTTCCCAGAAACAGGTTAAATATGTTCCATGGAATGTGTAACCATGATATTCCACCCATAATCCCCATGTAGAAAAATAATTATATGGATATTCTTATCAGAACTAGGTAATATGTTCCTTGTTACGTGTAACCATGACATTCTATCCATAATCCCCATGTAGAAAAATAATTATTCACATATTCCTATCAGAAAATTTTCAAATATGTTACATAGGATGTGGAATGATGATATTCCCCCATAATAAATAACTATACCCATGTTTTTATCAATAAAAGGTCAAATATGGTATTTGGCATCTATAGCCACAAAAATCCACCCATAATCCCCATGTAGAAAAATAACTATTCTCATATTCCTATTAGAAACAAGTCAAATGTGTTCCTAGGCATGTTTAACCATGATATTACACCCATAATCCCCATGTAAAAAAATAAATATACCCACATTATCAGCAAAAAGTCAAATGCATTACATCAGGTGTGTAACAATTATATTCCATCCATAATCCCATAAAGAAAAAAAAATATACCCATGTTCTTCTCAGAAACAGATGAAATATGTTCCTTGTTAGGTATAACCATGACATGCCAGCCATAATCCCCAGGTAGAGGATACCTCCATAATCAAAAACAGGTCACATACATTATGTAGGATGTGTAATTATGACATAACCCCCCCCCATAATCCTTAAAAAAAAAAAAAACACTATTCTCATATTATCAGAAACAGGTCAAATGTGTTCCTAGGAATGTGTAAATGATATTCCACCCATAATCCCCATGTAGAAAAATAACTATATCCATATCAGAAAAAGGTTGAATATGGTTCTTGGCATGTGTATCCACAATATTTCATCCATAATCCACATACAGAAAAATAACTATTCTCATATTCTTAACAGAAACAGGACAAATATTGTCCTTTATCCACAATAATCCACTCATGATCCCTATGTACAAAAATAACTATTCTCATACTCGTATCAGAAACAGGACAAATGCGTTCCTAGGCATGTTTAACCATGATATTGAACCCATAATCCCCATGAAGAAAAATAATTATACCCAAATTCTTCTCAGAAAGAGGTTAAAAATGTTCCTTGGAATGTGTAAACATGATATTCCCCATGTAAAAAATAACTATATGCATATTCTTATCAGAAATAGGTTAAATATGTTCCTTATTAAAGTGTTACTAAACCCACAACCGTAAAATCAGTCTGTATATGCAGTAAAGCATGCTTTTTATACTTACTCTGGAACCTAAAGAGTTAATCTTCTACATTGTGTAAAAATGCTGTTTGATCCTAACTTCTATGATCGTTCCCTTGTTCCAGTGTCCCCCTCTTATCTCCTGATAAGACATATTGTGTGGAGACACTCTGCACATGCTCAGTTTGGTTTGTATTGCTAGAGAGGTTTTTTTTTTTTGCTTGGGAGAGTGCATGTGATCAGCACAAGGCCAATCGCCACTGTACAGACAGAGGTCAGGGGTTCTGCATCCTTCTAGAGCAGAAAGAGAACTCCTCCTACAAGCTTTTACAAGTGCTCTGCTGAACACTGATAGAAGCCACAAGACTGATCTAACTGCTGATGAAAAAATGTATTTAGCAGTTTATATTTACTAAAATTGCATTTCCATGTAGTGGGTACTGTGGGGGACCAGAAAGAGTGAATGCAGGGCCCTGTGTTTAGTAACACTTTAAGTGTAGTCATGATATTAAACCCATAATCCCAATGTGAAAACATAATTATACCAATATTCTTTCCAGAAACAGGTCAAATATGGTCCTTTACATGCATATCCACAATAATCTACCCATAACCCCAAGTAGAAAAATAACTATTTGCAAATTCTTATCAGAAACATGTCCTATGTGTTCCTAGGCATGTTTAACCATGAAAGTCCATTCATAATCCCTATGTAGAAAAAAAAATATTCTCATATTCTTATTAGAAAAAAGTCAAATGTGTTTCTAGGCATGTTTAACCACAATAATCCACCCATACTCCCCATATAGAAAAATAACTATACTCATAATCTTATCAGAAACAGGTCAAAAATGGTCTTTGGCATGTGTATCCACAATATTCCCCCCATAATCCTTGTGTAGAAAAATAGCTATTCTCATATTCAAAATAATGCCAAATATGTTCCTAGGCATGTTAAATCACACTAATCCACCCATAATCTTCATGTAGAAAAATACCTTTACCTATATTCTTATCAGAAACAGGTCAAATGCATTACGTGGGATGTGTAACGATGATATTCCATCCATAAATCGCTATGAAGAAAAATAATTATACCAATGTTCTTCTTAGAAACAGATTAAATATGTTCCTTGGAATGTGTAACCATGATATTCCACCCATAATCCTCATGTAGAAAAATAATTATACTCATATTCCTATCAAAAAAAGGTCAAGTATGGTCCTTGCAATGTGTATCCACAATATTTCACCCATAATCCCCATGTAGAAAAATAATTATTCTCATATTCTTATCAGAAACCACTCAAATATGGTCCTTTACATGTGTATCTACAATAATCCACCTATAACCCCATGTAGAAAAATAACTATTCACATATTCTTATCAGAAACAGGTAAAATACGGTTCCTGGAATGTGCATCAACAATATTTGACCGATAATCCCCACATAAGAAAATAACTAATCTCATATTCTTATCAGAAACACATCAAATGTGTTCCTAGGCATATTTAACCATGAAATTCCACCCATAATCCCCATGTAAAAAAATAACTATACAAGATGATTCTTATCAGAACCCCTTAAGTGACATCTTGCTTACTACTTTGCATGTGATCACTGATTGGCCAATCAGCGATCACATGACCGGGACCTCGTACAGAGGTCCCGTCCGACGATCGGTGTTTCACTGTGTCCGGAGGACACAGCGGGCACCGGATCGCGGTGCTGCGCGCTCCCAGGGAGCGCGCACAAGCAGGGTGCGGGGAGGCCGTTCATAAACGGCCACCCGACCCTGCAGTGCCACCGTCCGGCCATTTATATGCAATGGCCGGTCGGGAAGTGGTTAAAGTTCATGTGCATGTAAAGGCAGGCTTCCCAATACTTTGGGAGAGAGAGAAAATATACTGACCCCTAATGAGCATGTTGAGCATTGCAGCCAATAATCCAATCATCCCAATATGCAGTTTAGTACATTATTATTATACAGTATTTATAAAGCGCCAACAGTTCGCTCAGCGCTGTACATTACAATGGGAGACAGAACATGCGACAGTACGATAACAATACAATGCGATACATAAGGGGTTCGAGTTTACAATCTACATCCCTCCCAGTTTGACAACCATGCACACAGCCCTGAACACAGACTGTGGACATCTCCAGACATGCCCCCACATTGGGGTCACATTGGGAGCAGCCATTGTATGCCTGCAGCCTCTGCACCCCAACTGACATGAATGGAACTGCCTGCATGAAGGGGGAAGGGACACATTTAGGATTTGTCATTGCAATTGGATTTTTCTGGATAATGTGTATCATTTCCTATCTGGTTGGACACGAAGCCTGTTTCCTATGGCCATCCCATAACATTGGGGATCCTCTCTGTGTTCCTGATAGTCTTCCCCCTCATTCTCTGATAACCCAGGTCACTGTGATCACACAGGGAGGGGTGATAGGATTGTATATCCCATCGATCATAGATGAGGCACTCACGAGATCAGGAAGTTCACTGACACAAGGAAGAAGACTCCGCAAAGCATGCGCACGTGTTCTGGACAACATCCATTCCAGCCGCGATCGATTGCACAGCCTGTCAGAGCCCCATCACACACACACCGTGCGCCGCACTACTCCAAGCCACTCCCTAATTGTCGCACAGAGTTGACAAAGCGGAAGTGATATAGCAGCGGGGGATTTGAATTACTAGAGCCTCGGGTCGGCGGTCTGCGTCCGGAGGGGGTGAGTATGAGGAGCTCTTCCACTGACATTGGGGCTTCTCTGCTGTAACTCAGGCTCAGCCATTCCATGGAGCGGAGGACTGGGCTCAGGACGCTTCGTTAGTGTGACAGCATGGAGGGAGTCAGCATTGTTATTAAAGGGGATGTGTCTGTATGTTTGGATAGGCGGTGGAAGGGTTAAAATCCCTGACAGATTGAGGTTTATTTTTTATTTTTTGCATTGGTATCAAAGGCAGGCATTTCCTCTGAGTTTTTGAAGCCCCATAAACATCTGTCAAAATGATGTGCATTGCAGTGGATGGTGTCGTTCACATGGTTGTGTTGCAAAGCATTGCGCCAACCAGCGTGTAGTTAGGCTGTGTTTACTGCTCCCCAAACACTTGCATTGATGTAAACTTGTATTTATTACAGGTACTTGTATAGCAATGGGGGCAGCACAGTGGCTAAATGGTTAGCACTTCCGCCTGGCAGTACTTGGGTCGTTGGTTCAAATCCCAACCATGGCACCACCTGCCTGGAGTTTGTATGTTCTCCCTGTGCCTGCATGGGTTTCCTCCGGGTACTCCGGTTTCCTCCCACACTCTAAAGACATGCTGGTAGGTTAATTGGATCCTGTCTAAATTGGCCCTAGTATGTGTATGTATGAATGTGAGTTAGGGACCTTAGATTGTACACCCCTTGAGGGTTAGGGACTGATGTGAATGTACAATATATATGTAAAGCGCTGCGTAAATTGACGGCTCTATATAAGTCAATTTACTCAACGCTATGTATATACCAGGGTACATTTGATTTAACACCTTCTCACCCGGCCTATAGCAGACTGGCGGCAGGGCGGGACACTCCTCATTGTGACTGGGCGTCCTATGACATCCTGTCAAAACGAGCTGCTCATGGGGCAGCACAGCGGCACGATCTGTCACCAGCTGTGTCCACGTGGCACAGCCGATGACATATCACTACACTGGCCTGTTGCCAGTGTCATGTGACCGCTGTAACCAATCACAGCAGATCACATGTCAATTGTATACAATGGATGGCTTCCTTTCATGCCATCCATTGTATACAATTATGGTGTTAGCTGTGACTGGTCAAGGCAGTCACATGATACAGACAGGGCCAATCACAGCCCATCTGTACCATGTGATCAGCTTTGCCCAATCACAGCTAATCACATGAAATACGTCGGTATTAGCAATCATAATGTGTTAAAAAAAAAAAAAATCCTGATCACTTGCACAGAGTAGCTCAATGTTACTATGATAACATTGTATTGCTTTGGTCACAGTGTGCTGAAAAATAAAATAGAAGAAAAAAAATGTAATAGGAAAAAAAATAGAAAAACATTTGAAAACAAAATACAAATTGAATTATTATTTTCACGAAAGCAATGTAGGAGAATACATTTTGACCTAAATTTATGAAGAAATGTTATTTATTTGCAAAATTTTATAACCAAAACAAAGAAAAGTACTTTTTTTTTTATTTCAAAAGTTTCAGATGTTTGTTTTATTTCGCAAAAAAATAAAAACCACTCTGGTGATTAAATACCACCAAAAGAAAGCTCTATTTGTGTGAAAAAAATAATTTCATATGGACACAGTGTTGCATGACTGCGCAATTGTCATTTAAAGTGCGACAGCACTGAAAGCTGAAAATTGGCCTGGGCAGGAAGGGGGTAAAAGTGCCCTGTATTCGCGTGGTTAAATCACTAGTGAAAAGGTTTGATTTAAATCATAATTTTTAAAGAGCAACTGTCATCTCTGTCCCACAGTGGCTCCTCCTCTGATCGGCTGTTGACTCATTGAGGCTACGTACACTAGCCTTTTAGGCGGCAGAGAGGCGTTTGGGAAGCGTTTTTACCGCTTCCCAAACGCCTCTGCCAATTCTGCACATTACAGCACATGGTGCTGTTCTAACGGGAGCATTTGCGTCGCGTCGCGGCAAAACGGACGCCTCTGGACGAGTCAGGAGGCTTTGAAGCCTCCTATTCTCGTCTATGGTGCCGCTCCGCAAATGCCCGGCCGGCGTTTGCGGTGCGGTTGCGACGCGGTTGCGGGGCGTTTGCGAAGTGGTAACACCACTCAAACTGCATTATAGACGTTATTAACGCTCGGCAAACGCCTAGCATCCGCTCATGCGGCGTTTGCAGAGCGTTTGGGACGCTCCGCAAACGCCGGACCAACGCTTGCCAAACGCTATAGGGGCGTTTGGCAAGCGCAAAAACAACAGCCTAGTGTGAACGAGCCCTGACAGTCCCATTATTTAATGGGCGGCTGGTGATGCGTCAGCGAGGCTGGTGAAGCCTTTCCTATTCTCGTCTATGGGTGCCCGCTCCGCAGTGACACAACAAAGTGCGGGACGTGGCGGCAGCAGGTGAGTGGATGCCCGCTAACAGGTGCTGCCATGATGGATTCAAAATCACAGGTGCTCTCACAGGTTAAATGTAAGGAATCTGACTCATTCTTGCTGGTAGTTACAATCTTTAATATTTGCAAACCAAATGAAGGTTTCCTTTTTAGAATAATAAGCTGTCAGGTTAGTCAAACAGTGATATCACAACCGATTTTATGTTA